CAAGTTCCTGTACTTGCTTCGCAGCAGCAGCAATAATCTACAACAACAGCAATAACCAACAGCAGCAGCAATTCAGCAGCGTAGCAGTTCTATTCCGCCAAGACCAAATACATTACCATGGTCATATCCATTACCATGCTAAAATCTTTAGAGAGTTGTCATAATAGAAATTTCATAATTTAGATTTTTTTTTACCTCATCAGTAATTATGACTTAGTATTTCATAATTGAGTTTTTATTTGATATCATATTCATAATTAAAAATTAATCCTAATTATGATTAACCATCATTATGGATAAATTATGAATTATGTCATAATTTTGAACTTTTATGTCAATTTTGACTTTTTACGTCATAATTATGACAAAGTATGCCATTATTTTGAATTTTATTTCATATTCATGAGTTAGCATCTAATAATTTCGACTTTTTGTCATACTTTTGACTTTTTAATCTCATAATTATGACTTGGTATCTAATAATCTAAACGTTTTACTATAGATTTCTGAATTTCTATCTTATATTTTTTTTCTTACTAATTTTGGGGTTTCCATATGTAATAGTTCAAACTGCTAATACTGCAATAAAACTGCCCTAATTTTCCACTGCAGCATAAAGAAAGACTGGGATGAGCCTTATGTAAAGTAAGTGACCAGATCCAACACCCAAACATCTCTCTCTCTAACTTCCTCTGTGTCAGCAGCTCTGAGCTGACAGTGACACCACCATCCTCCACTCTGAGAGAAAGAGAGGCATTGTGCCCAGCCATTATCAATGAGCATGATGCATCGTAAACATTGTGACCTCTCATGTGAGGGGCTTTTATCATGCGGGTATTACAGCTCATTGTTTATTATGTGCTGATTAACTACAGTTCACTGATGTAAAGTTTGAACTGCCCAGTATATATTTTAAATATTAATAAAATAAAAGGCTTAAATACGTATTTACTTTACGTACTTTACATACTAAAGCATGTGTAAAGCATCTTTCAACAATATTCTTAAAAGTGAGCTAAATTACACTACTTTTTGACAAAGGATTTGCAAAACAATTAATATGTTGAATATGACTAGATCATCATCATCCTCCAAACAATGTGAAGTCACTGTACATTCATTTTATTCATCAAGCACCCACTGTATTGTGGCAAGTGCCCTTAAATATCACTGTTTTATTCTGTAAGCTGCTACTGTTGATGGCGTGTATGCTGGTGAACGTGATGAGCAGATGATGAGAACAAATGCAGATTAGCCCCCGCTAGCTAACATGTGCAGCTGCCTTCAAGCGGCCAAAACGATTCGTCACTGGTTGTGAACGAGGTCTTTGGATGACTGTGAGCAGGGTGATCCACATGAAGGTGACATGCACGAGTCATGTTTGCTCAAGACCGACTCCATAGGCACCCATATCTGGTACTTAAGTAAAAAGACAGATTTTTATGCATAGTTAATAGATTACACTATTAGGCTACTTTGCCCATAGCCCATTATAGATCAACTAACATAATCTATAAAGGTGCAAAATGCATTTACTTACACATAACTTGAGAATTGAGATATTTCATGATATAGTTTGGGAATATTTCGAATTTAAAAAAAATTAATAAAACATAAGCCCATATCAGTTATACAGTAGTATCGTTGCTGTTGTGTGTCACATGACAAGTATGAGAGCCCCCCCCCCCTCACTCGTGCCCCCTCAAAAGTAATGAGTGCATGATACCCCTGACACTATACAATACTAAATTATTTGTCAAATAAATGAAACATGATGAAACATTAATTTTAGTTGAAATTGTTATAGATTACTTCTAGGGATCGCAGTGATACATGCCATGGTGAAAAATGACTGAATGAATAATACTGAAAGTAGGTCAAGATGAATTTTAAAATTGTGCCCCCTAAAAGCACAAATGGCCCCTGTCTGTATGGAATAGTGTATAACTATAACTATGCAAGTGACAAATACAAAAATTACAAACATTTTGACATGACTTGTTTTACTAAAGCGCTTCAACACTGTTTATGCAAACTTGTTTTGATCGTAATTACAAGTTCAATGTTATTTTGAAGTGAACTAGTGACCTCATGTGGTATGACAAAATAAAATAAAAATACACTTTTTATCCACTAGATGTCACCGTTTAATTGATACTGTGGAGTTTGGTTAATTCAGCAACAACTGGATATTTCTTATTTCCTTTGTTATATAGGCTTGTACACTACTATTCAAAAGTTTGGGGTGGGTAAGTACATTTTTTGACAAAAAATACATTAAAGACATTAATATTGTAAAAAGTATTGTAAAAAATGATTACAGTTTAAAATGACTGTTTTGCACTGTCATGTATTTTATAAAGCTATTTATTTCTGTAATGCCAAAGCGGAATTTTCAGCAGCCATTACTCCAATCAGTATTACATGATTCTTCAGAAATCATTTTAATATGCTTATTTGGTGCTCAAGAAATTATCATTGATAATATGAATTATTATCAGTGTTGAAAACAGTCGCTTTTAATATTTTTGTGGAAACCGTGATGTTCTTTTTTCAGGATTATTTAAGGAATAGAAAGAACAACATTCAAAAATTCTAAAGAAATCTTTTATAAAATTATAAATGTCTTTGCGGTCACTTTTGATCTATTTGATCCATTCTTCCTGAGTAAAAGCATATACAAAATCAGCCTTTATACAAAGGTACACTCTAAAAAATGCTGGGTTAATATGAAGCGATTGAGTTGTTTTCAACCAACAGTTGGGTTAAATGTTTAAACCAACCTTCTGGGCAGTAACCCAATCACTTTTTTGTCCATATGTTACCCAGCGCTGGGTTGTATTTAACCCAGCATTTTTGGAGAATGCTGCTAACCCAGTGGAGAAATGTGGAGCAAGAAATTTGAAAATTTGAATAAACTGAATTATAATACAGTGCACACTGAACACAGTTTTACAATCACTCAAATCAAACGTGCAGTTTTCAGGTCAGATTTATTTCAAGAGACTTTCTGATTTTTGTTTCAGTAGCCTATAAGTCTTGGAACAGGGCATTTGAGCAGAAGAGAGGGCCTCAAAATATTATGGTAATGGACAGACAGCACTGTCGAGATCCAATTAAACTTGTATTCTGCATTTCCTCCTCTAAAGAGACAGATCAAAAGAAAATGGCCACTAAAAGAAAAGATGACAAAGATTAATTTTTGTCATTCATCTTGAGCTAAATTCCCATGACATCATGCATGAAGAGTAACATTGTATAGTTTCCCACTACACAAGCATGCTTTATATTTACAGTTTGACTAAAAAATGGGTCAGAAATCATTCTTTCATCATTATTCTCCCTTATAATGTAGTTGTCGTGTTGTCAAGTGGAGGAGTCAGAAACTATTGTAAAAAGAAATACTGTGACATAATTGCTATGTAAACAGCATGGGACCCTCAACTTCATTCCTTTAAAAACTGATATGTTTGCATCTGTTTATGTTAAAAATAAAAGGTAAAGAAATAATAACACGTTAATTCCACTAGATGTCACTGTCCAACTGATGCAATATTTAGTAGCGTGCATTCATTATCAACTGGCCATCACATTTATTTACTTTTCTAAATACAGTCCAGAGCTGCCAAGAAATAACTATACCTGACATATTCAGGATAAATGACAATTCGGATGGACAAAATAATGCAATGCCAAATGTATAGTCTGAATGTTTATTTTTTTAAAAGTACAAAAATAGTTTTTAGCTGCATTAGCTCTTTATATTCTACCCTGTTGGATGTATACATTAATTTCATAATCATAATCCCCCATTATAGCTACTACAGAACGTAAAGTGTTACCCACATTTGAATGTACATCCACTTGGAGAACATCTGGAGGCAGCAGTGAGAGGATTTCTGGAGAAACCATGAGGTTTCCGAGAAACTGTAATGCTGCAGGCATAGGCAATGACACAGAGATGGGGGAAACCAGGACAGGCTTCATTTGGTTGTGTGGTCTGAAGCTGGGGGATCAGCTGATCTATTTGGAAGCGAGCAAGAGAGAAACCATGTGGCTTATAAGAAAACACGGTGACCGAAGAGCTCCATAAATACAAATGGGTAAATATTTTTAAAGAAATTCCATGGTAAGAGTAGATCTATTTGGCTTGTAAATGTCATTTTAAACTAAAGAACATAAGGGCTGAGAATCTAGCCTTTGCTGACAATGTCCTTTCCCTATACAGTAACTAAATATAATGACTTGCAATTTATCAAAGAGAGACTTGTTGCAACTTAGAGATTGCATTGTATCCATATAACCAAAACTAAAATACAAGTAAACTTACTATATAGATTCAGTCACACAGCTAAAATTACATATGCAAATAAATGTGATCTCGTTCAATTCTCCTTCTCATCTGACTATTGAAAGTTTGCTATTATGTTTTCCATTGTTGATGATGTCAACAAAATTATGTCTACATTAGATTGCAACACAAACTCATAATAGCCTACATTTGTGGTATAATTGTAATTCTACTTGCAATGGAACAACCCACAGGCTCCAAAGGCTGACCAAAATCCATTGCACACACACACACACTAAACGCCTGAGTTAAAAACAACCCAGTTTTCGTAATTTAGCCAACCCAGTGCTGATTCAAAAAGGGACATTTGGTATCAATGCTTATGCTTGATGCCTAAACAAGAATATGTAAATAGCATCGTTAGACTCATACTGGACCTCTGTTCTCCACAAAACAGACATGAGTCATGTCAGAAGAATTATCATCCTTATCAGCATTCATAATATAGTTAACACTCAGGAAGTAGGTTAGCTCTAGCAATCAAGATAGAAAAATTAAAGCTACGATGTTTGCAAACAGAAACATTAGGAGTCAAAACATAGGGTGCAGATTCTCTCCACTAGATCACATGATGCAGCAGCGTGTCTGGACTACGTCATCATCAGCCTATAAAAGAAGCTGTGAGGGACTATAGTCTCTCACACCACTGAAAGCTAAATGAGAGTACTTGGGACACACTTTTCAATTCTGAATGATGCCCTTTAGCAAAGCGAGAAAAGGTAAGACAATCTATAGCATGACATACATTGTCTTGTTCTGCAAATGTTGACCACACTCTTATAGCCTGGCTGTTTAGAGTCTGAGATGAAAAGCTTTTGATTTTAAATGTAAGTATGAATTAAATGAATTTATGAATTTACATGAATTAAAACATATGTTGTGTTCTTGAGATGTTGTTGTCTATCCTATTAAAGTTAGTTAAACGTAGCTTAATGTATCTGCCACAGCCCTGTATTAAAGTATTGCTATAAACATAGGCATCAGTACAAGTTTTCTAAAGCTGCAAATATGGACACCAGACAGTTAACATGTCATTTTGCCCAGATATTAACTCTGCCATTAAAGACTGAAATGTGGCACGCGAGACAACATAAACTACGAAGGCTTAAATTTCATGTAGAGAATTTATTTTTAGTGGCCTGAATTCTTTCACATATTAACCCTCTGATGCATCGTGGTCACTACAGTGGACAGCTATTTGGAAGCCATTTTGAACCATTTAAGATGTAGCATCATGTCCCAACCACCAACTGGCGAACCCCCAAAGTGTTGTCTACGATTCCATTTAATTGTTGTCTTTTTATCTTTTTATTTTTTGTTTTGAGATATTGCATAATATATTCAAAATGGCGGCAGGAAAAGGGGATGCACCATGTACCTCGGCGATAAGTGTTAGATAATTTTATTCTCAGAAAACCAGACAGGTACAAAAAATATTTTTCAGTTAAATAGGATGTCAGAAATAGTTTCATCCAGATTTTAACAATATTTTTCTTGTACATTTTTTTCTGTGACAGAAAATATATCTGTCCACTACAGTGGATGTCATGCACCATTCTGCCTATGGGCCTATATATAGGTTCTGCCTTATTTTGTGTTTTATTAAAATTATGATATAATTTACACTTGAATGGTTTTATTGAACAGAAATATTAAATAGTCTTCAGATTTTATCATTTATTTCAATGCTTACAGCCTATATTTATTTATTAGGTAATATAAAAGTGTAAGCATGTATACATGTATACTGTATGAGTGCAGACATATGTGTGCATGATTGTGTTCGAGTGTGTGGTGGATTTATCGGGAGCGTGTATGCTGGGATTTCATGGAGAAAAAAGTAACGTAACTAGTAATGTAACTAATTACTAGTTACTTTTGAAATAAAGTAATCAGAACAGTAACGTGATTACTTTTAAAAGGAGTAATCAGTAATCAGTAATTTGATTACATTTTCAGAGTAACTTGCCCAACACTGGTGTTGGGAGGGTATGTGTGCTTGTGTGTTTGTATTTGTGCTCACATCTGTATGAATAGCCCACCCCCCAAAATAATCAAACAATAGTCAAAGCTTTATTGGCATGTCGAGCATTTACAGTAGGCTATTATTTACAAAAGCTGGGCCGCGCCCGCAGCCAGATTATTTTGATAGAGGCTGATTCTGAAAAAGATCTGTCATGACAGCAACAGTTACTTGGGCTAGAGCGTCCACACCCAGAGGCGACGGAGGAGACAAGGAAACCAGAGCGGGCAATGCGCATGCTCCAAGCAAACAAATCCACTTCTGTTGTCAGTCCTTGACCTAATCTGACAACCACTCAATTGGGTAAGAACCATTTGAGTGCCAGAAACGCTGCTCCAAACAGTTTGTGTGATTGAGCTAATATCAGCCAATCGTCAAGGTAACTCAAAACTC